GTTTGAATTAACTTGTAAAAGGTTTTTTCAATTAATTTACTTTGTGAGTGAGACAGTGTATCACAAGACACATGAAAGTCAAAGAACAATTTGCAGTTGGTTAATTCCTTATATCATGTGGGTTCTGGGAGTTGAGCTCAGATCATCAGGCTTAGCAGTAAGCATTTGATGAGCCACCTTGGTGGTTCCTGGATTTGATTTTGTAGTATGTGGTACTTGAATGTAATTGGTCCCCATAAGTCATAGAGAGTGAGTGGCACTATTAGGAGGTATGGCCTTGTTGGAATGGGTGTGGCCTTGTTGGAGGAAGTGTGTTGCTGTGGGGGTGGGCTTTGGAGGTTGTCTATGCTCAAGCTACGCCTAGTTCAGTTTGCTTCCTGTTGCTTTGGAGCAAGATGTAGGACTCTTGGCTCCTTCTCCAGCATCAAGTCTGCCTGCATGCCACCATGATGATGATGGACTGAACCTCTGAACTGTAAGCCAGCCCAGTTGAATGTTTTTCTTTGTAAGTGTTGCTGTGCTCATGGTGTCTCTTCACAGCAATAGGAACCCTAACTAAGACAAGTCTTGAAATCTTACTGGGAATGTAAAGTCAATCTGTGACATTTATCCCTCCATTGATCATTAGGGTTGAGCTGATCTGGCTGGCTAGGTGGATGCCCCCTGTGTGTGTCTCTCCTGAAGCTGTATGCTTGATCAAAGAGGATGCCTTCTCTTGATAGAGGGGGACCATTCTGGGTTTGTTTTGTTTGTTAACTGGACAATGCATGTGCATCTGTACCTGCACATGCACAAACACACACACACAAATAAGTTTGTGACCATATTTTCTGTCATTTGATCAACTGTGCGTGTGTGTTAACAATAGATGTGGATGTGAAGAGAGATGCTGCTGGAGATTGAGTGCAGGCCTCAGCTATATCCACAGCCCTTGTGGGGAGTTTTGCCAATGATAAATAGTGTATTAAAAAGAAAAATGAGCTGGAGAGATGGCTCAGCAGTTGAGAGCACTGGCTGTTCTTCAGAGGAGCTAGGTTCAATTCCCAGCACCCACATGACAGCTCACAACTGTCGGTAACTCCAGTTCCAAGGCATCCTCACACAGACGTACATGCAGGCAAAACAATGAACATAAAATAGTAAATTATTTAAAAAAAAAAATCCACCTGAAAGCACCTGATGGAAGGAGCTGAATGTTCTAAAGTGGGCTGAATTTAACCAGTGGTAAGTGATAGAATATAAGAGCAGAAGGCCGAGCAGTGGTGGCACATGCCTTTAATCCCAGCACTCAGGAGGCAGAGCCAAGCGAATCTCTTGAGTTCAAGGCCAGCCTAGTCTACAGAGCGAGATCCAGGACAGGCACCAAAGCTACACAGAGAAACACTGTCTGGAAAAACCAAAAAATAAATAAAACAAAAGAGCAGAAGGTAGATGAGAGACAGTCCATTGATTTGATGTTTTATTACGGGTGGTTGAGATATTTAAAATCAGTATTATTTTTGGTAAAGGAGAATCACAGTTTCTTTGCTTTTGTTTTTTAAGAAGAGGGATGCTATTGAAATAGACTTGAATTACATGTTCTTTCCTCTGTGTACAGGTTTGGGTAGGTACACTTGGTAGATGTGGGTGTGCATGCATGTATGTAAGTGCTTGTGAAGGCTACAGGTTAATAATAGTGACCATCCTCCATTGCTCTCCACCTTAATTTTTTTTTTTTTTGTCTACATGTGTATGTAAGGATCACACGCATACAGTGCATTGAATCACATGCATGCGGTGCCTGAGGAGGCTAGAAGAGGGTGTTGGACCCTTAGAACTGGAGTTTCAGACATTTGTGCCGCTGTAACCCTGTCCTCTGCAGGAGCAGCAAGAGCTCCTAACCAGGCAGCTGTCTCTCCCGTCCTCCTCCCTGAGGCAGGGTCTCTGCTGACCTAGTGCTCACAGATGGGGCTAGGCCAGCTGGCCAACAAGCCCAGGGATGTGCCTGTCTGTCTCTGCAATCACTAGATGTGGACCGTTCGGTGCAGCTTTTTACATGGGTGATGGGATCCAAATGGTCCTCATGCTTTCATCAAGCACTCTACTGACAGCCAGGCCCTGAGCCCCGCCCATGCTTTGCTTTTCCAAACCTCTCTCCTTTGAAGGTTTTAGAAAGCTATATAATAATAATAATAATAATAATAATAATAATAATACACTTTTATTTGCTAATTTCATACATAAGCACAGTGTATTTAGACCATATCCACACTCCCAGTTTCTTTCAGATACCTCACATCTCCCTCCTGATGTCATGTCATGGTGGTTGCCTTTTTTTGTTGTTAATAATCCACTAACTCTAAAGTGCTGCCCTCAGGATTTTTTTTTTTTTTTTTTTTTTTTTTGGTTTTTCGAGACAGGGTTTCTCTGTGTAGCTTTGCGCCTCTCCTGGAACTCACTTGGTAGCCCAGGCTGGCCTCGAACTCACAGAGATCCGCCTGGCTCTGCCTCCCGAGTGCTGGGATTAAAGGCGTGCGCCACCACCGCCCGGCTGCCCTCAGGATTTTTAATTACTATTTTTTGTTTCAATCAGTATCTCCACTGCCTGCAGAATACTATCTTTCTAACAGTGTGGAGTCCTCAAAATAGTCTCTCACCTTCTGAATTCCCCAAACTAACCTAAATTTATTGCCATTATTCTGGATGGATGTCATAGGGTTAAATTTTTGTACTGGCCTAATTTTGGCTCACAGTTTTCCAAGCCTGTTAATTGGGGCTTCATGTAGGGTTATAATAACACCCCACTAAGGTGACTTCAAACTTGATGTGTAGCAGAGGCTGGCCTTGAACTTCTGATCTTACTGCCTTCCCACATGCTAAAAGTACAGGTATGTACCATCACGCCTGGTTCCAACGTCTGGTTGGTTAGTTTTTTTATGATAGTCTCATGTAACCCAGATGGCCTTGACCTCTGTGTAACCAAAGATGGCTTTGAATGACTGATCCTTCTACCTCCACCTCTGTGTGAGATCACAGTGTGCCATCAAGCCCAGGACTATACATTCTTGGCATGCTGCCAACTGAGCCACATCCTCTGGAGTCCTCTGAAATGGTTGCTTTTCACATTCTAAAACTAATATTCATAAGCTTCCTTTAGTGGGAGGTCAAAATCAAGATCACAGATAGGCTACTCCTTTAGTGAGCTCTGACTTAAAAGTGTAGAGACTAGGAGAGGTGTGGCACAGCCACCCAGAACAGACCTCAGCTTAACAGGATTCCCTTGGATTCATTCATGACTAGCCATTTCCAGAACTCTACTAGGTGGCCCAGATCTCATCTGTGCAGACACATGGTCACAGGTAATGTGGTCACGGGTCCCTTTGTATTTTCTCTTCCTGGGAAGATGGTTGCTTCCTTTTGTGCCCTTCCTCAAGCTATCAGATAAAATGCATTGTATAGACAACTGGGCATTCAGGATATTGACAGGCAATGAAAACAGCTCCGCACATTTGTTTTTTTTCCTAATTTCAAAGAAGACAACTTTTTTTCTTTTTTGGTTTTTCGAGACAGGGTTTTCCTGTGTAGCTTTGCGCCTTTCCTGGAACTCACTTGGTAGCCCAGGCTGGCCTCGAACTCACAGAGATCCGCCTGGCTCTGCCTCCCAAGTGCTGGGATTAAAGGCATGCGCCACCACCGCCCGGCAAGAAGACAACTTCTTAAAATATGAAAAAATACTGTTGGTATAAAAATTGTCCCTCCCTAAAAAGTTCTATGAAGACTGATCTTTAAGACTCAAGTTAGAACTGTAATATAGAAAGAATCCCCCAAACCCCTTATATAATTTTATGTATTCACAATACCCATTTCCAGACATTTTCTTTTTATAGAAACAGATTTCCAGAGAGCATGAACTGTGACTTGGAAGCGGCTTGTCGGGAGGGCTGAGCTTAAGCACTCATTAGCAGGAGACTCCTAACTACTACGAGAACAGCTCAAGAAGAAAAGTTGCTGGCCGACAGAGCAAGGAATTCGAGACCAATTTCATTTTAAAAACACCGTGTATACAAAATATGAGGCTTTCTTGTTGGACAGAGGCCTTTTGTTTTGTTTGGACATAGCTAACCAGTTCCCTCTTTCCCCTATTATAAAAGCAACACGGGAAATTTGGAGGCTGGGGTTTGAGCTGTGGAGAGAATTCAGCCTTCTCACACTCATGAAGGAAATGGGGGGAGAAAACAATTCTGTGCTCTGGAATAACCCACGGACATACATGTAGACAAAACGCCCATACACATAAATAAAATCCCAGTTGTGCAGCCGTTTTGGCAATAGATGTGCACTCAGATCAACATGTCCTTGACTAGAAGGCGCAATAACAAGATTTTTATTGATGAGGTTAGGACCCTTAAGTTTCCCAGCTCCTTCTGGAAGCAAATTCTTTGTTTACAGCTCTGCTGTATGTTTCAACAAAAGGACTTGGGAGCCAATAAAACGTGTTACTCAGGACAAATGTTTTTTGTCAGGGTTCCTCAAAATGTGTTTGGAAATCTAAGCTTATACGAGGCTGATGATTTAAGAAATGGTTCCATGGCTTAATGTACTTCAGATTTTGGCTTCTCTTCTGCATGACTACTCAGATCCTTTACTATGTTAATGTGAATATTTCAAAAGCATTTTGTTTCTGTGGTGTTGGAGACTGAATCCAGGCTTTGTGCGAGCTTGGTAAGCACTTCCACACGGAGCTGCATCCTTTGCCCCAGATTATTTTTGATCAGAAGACACCCTTGCCCATAATCTTGTCCATGGAACACACAGCCACATAATTCAAATTAACTCAGAATATGTCACAGATAGCATACACGGTCCTGGAAGGACCATCTGGACTTTGGGAATATTATTGAAACATTCTTGTCTAAGACCTTAAATTTGGTCTCTCCTAGAGTATATTTGATGGCAATTTTCTTTCTGGTTTGTAGATTTTGTTATGTTTGCAAACAAAAAAGTAATGGAAAGAGACAGCATTCACTAAATGAATATTTTTTTTATTGATAAGCAGATAAATTTAATAAGCTCAGAGGTAGTCATGGTCCCTCCACAGCGAATGTTACAGTCTTAGACAATTTGAGCGTACTTTTTATTTTCTGTTTTTCGAGACATATTTTCTCTGTGTAGCCCTGGCTGTCCTGGAACTCACTCTGTAGACTGGGCTGGCCTCGAACTGCCTGGCTCAATCTGAGCATCTTGCTTACTGGTCTTTTAATGATAAGAATCACTGAGAAGCTTGTAATAAAAAAAAAAATCAGGAAGAAGCCACTTGCGAAGGGCTGTGTGTGTGGGGTGGCTTGTGTGCTAAGATACGATAAAATAGTCCGTGAGTAACAGTAGTGTCTATTAGTGATGTAAGTTCTAGAACAAATCCAGGAGTGTGAAGTCTGTTGTAGGCATCCAGAACCGTGGTTTTACCTCATCTAGCCATCACCTGCCCCCTCACCCCACCCACAAGATCACAAGGAAGGCAAAAGTCACCTCACAAACATCCACTAGATTGCTGCCTCACAGAATGGAGTCAGACTTCTGCTGCAGTAGGAGAATACCCACGCTGTGCAGATTCATACACATTTCCTAGAAACAGATACTTCTCCACCCAGAGTCCATTCATACATTGGAAAGCAGAGCTAGTGTACACCGTTTTGAGACAAATGACACATGCAGATTTGCTTCTGGAACAAAGCATGGCATTGAGTCTTGAAAAACACTGAGAATTGAGTAGAGGAGGCCAAACATTTCTAACTTGCTCAGCAGTTTATTGAGGGGAAAAAAACGAAGCACCAACTTGGCGTCTGTCTAAACATCCGCCACCGTTCATTTAGCTGGGTATTTTCTTTTCTTTTCTTTTTGAGACAGGTCTCTATTATGTAGCTCTGACAATCCTGGGACTCACTCTGTAGACCAGGCTGGCCTTAAACTCAAGAGATCTACCTGCCTCTCCCTCCTGAGTGCTGGGATTTCAACCATCCCAGTTCGAATAGGCACACAAGTGAGCTAGGTCACTTTGTGAACGTTCCCTTGGAAATGACATGATTCTTGCTAACCAGTCTTTTCGTTACCAGCTCACCTTTAATACGGTGAGCTGCCTTCAAAGGAGTTACTCAAGTATTCATTGTGCTTTCTCTACCCGAAGGAGCACCAAAATGTGGTCTGTACCACTGCAGCGGCTGCCCGACAGGACCACTGTGAGCCTGGCTCTTCATCTAGCTTACATTGTTCTCTCTACAAGGGTTACAATTGAATTTGGAACCTCAGAGCGTATCCGCCAGGGTAGGGGACATACAGAAAGAAATGGGGGTTGTGGACTTTTGAGGACCCAGACCATAGAGTAATTTCACGGTCATGGTTTGTCTTGAGGGCGGGGGTACTTTAGTGGAGATTGAACCCAAGACTGCTCATGCTAAGCACATTATCACCGAGCCATACCTCTTCCTCCCCTTGTTTAATTGAGTTTACCTTGGGTTTTGATACAGACTTCTAGTATAAGTAATGTTATTTTAAGAAGGACATAGTCCAGACCGTCATAGCTGCTCTGGAGGCTAAGGCAGGCAGATTCAAAGCCAGCTTGGATTATGGTGAGTTTCATGTCCGGCCCACACAAGTTAGTGAGACCTTGTGACAAAACAGAAGAGAAGCTGGGCCTCCATGGCAGAGCACTCTTCCTGTGCGTGCAAAGCCCTGGGCCTCTCCAGTAAGACACATCCACGTGCAAGTTATTTTAGTAACACGTTTTCTGTTAGGTCCGGGAACCAATTCAGAAAACAGCCCATTTCCTTTAAAACCTACCCTAGAAAAAGGTAGGTCAGAATTCAGACCATCCAGCCGATGGCAAACCAAATTTTTCGAGACAGAGTTTCTCTGTGTTAACAGTCCTGGCTGTCCTTTGTAGACTAGGCTGGCCTTGAACTCACAAAGATCCACCTGCCTCTACCTCCCAAGTGCTGGGATTAAAGGTGTGCGCCACGACCACCGCTACTGTTTTTCTAAGATGGCTCTCACTTACAGTCCAGGCTGGTCTTGAACTTGTGTCGCTGTTCCTGCCTCAGCCTCCCAAGAGCTGGGATTATAGGTGCTAGCCACCACACCTGGCTTAGTCTTATATACTTTAAATGTAATGTACCCAAATCACTTTCTGAACTATTATTAATGTACACTTTCCAAGATATAAGCTAATGCTTATTTAAATACAGTGATCAAGATAATCATGCTATTTTCAAATTTAGAAGTGGTTAAAAAAAAAAACTACACATACTATCAATTAAAATATAGAGTAAGTTTGGCACCAAGAGAGGGCATCAAGGTGCCCATGTATCTCTTCAGTCCCTTAGAGTCTCAAGGCTTCACCATGTGCCAAGCCCTGCCTGGTTTCACAGCCATTCAGGGCTTGTGATTGAAGAACCAGGTGACTCAATTCCCATGGAAAACTCACAGCGCGCAGGAACCTGCACACCAGAGTTGCTATGGATTTTCCTGTTTGCTCTTTATCCTTAGTTATTTACCTATCTGTTTTTGAGACAGTGTCTTGCTGTGTAGACCAGGCTGGCCTAGAATTCAGAGACCCACCTGCCTCTGCCTCCTGAGTGCTGGGATTAAAGGCACGTGCCACCACACCTGGCCTCCTCTTAATTCTTGCGGTGAGTTAGAATAAATTTACTTTCACATAGGGACACTTCTACTTCCAACTGATTGTAAGATTTTTTTTTTTCTGGTCTAGAAGGTAGTGCATAGTGCAGCTAACAGCTAGCAAACGCCCTCATACCCAGCCTTACAGTGCATTCACTTTGAATTGTTTTTCTTGATGTATCCATGAAAAGTCTCTGTCTCTCTCTCTGTGTACACCAGTGAGCTGGATGTTGCCAAATATAAAACTTACTTCCATAAAACTGCTCAAATCTCTACCGTTCTGGGAAGGTCTGTAGCAGGTTGCTGAAACACTTTCCCCAACCATTTCTTTCCTATTTTGTGCTAGGCTCCGAGGATGCAGGAGCGAACTTTTCCAACAAGTAGATCCTGGCCTCGAAGAGCCCATGCTATACCAGAGAAAGCCAGCATGAAGTAGATAGCACCATTGCACTGGAAACTAGTAACCAAGACAACCAGCTCGTTTGAAGGGTCCAAGAGGACTGGCCTTGACCCAGATCATTTGGAATTTCACGGGAGAGAAATGGCAAGGCTTCCTGGTTGAAGAAGATGCTTGGAGTGGAGTTTTACTGAGTGGGAAACAAGATGTGGTCATGGTGTCAGAATGACATCCAGATCTGGGACTTCGAGCACTGTGTTGCATTTAGGGAGCAGAAGGGCTTTTGGGCAGCCCCCTTCCTCCAGGGCTGTGTGGAAGATGGGCCTGGCAAAGAGATACCTGGGAGCGAGAGACAGTGGAGCTGGGTCAGCAGAGAGGGGAGCTAACTGGCATGGAGAGGATGGGCTGAATCAATACAGTCGCTTTCAGTGCCTGACTGGATCCACACAATGAAGAAAGGACCAAGCACGCACGGAGCAGGGTCAGCTCTCACACGGTGGTGTCTCAACTGTCAACAGGATGTGGTGAAGTTCATATGGGCCGTATCCAGGTGGGTGTGTCTAGTGAGCAGCTTGCCCTGCATCGGGGGGCTCAGGCAAGAGACCAGGATTACGACGAGGGGACCATCTTAACAGGACTGTGGCATCAGGTGCAGGGAGGCAAGGACACTGGCACCGGAGGCCACTTCGTCTGTTGCGTTCTGTACACACGTCAGGCATGTTTGCCCATTTCCTCTCATTTCTCCTTAGAACACCGGAAAAGTAAATGTTCTTAGTCCTGTTATCTAGAAATTTCTTCCTTTAGGGAGAACCATGTATACGTACGTAGTAGTATTAGCTCTTTACAAATAGCACTCATGGCAAGGTGGTGCATAGGTGATCAGGAAGTGTCCATCATTGCTGCTTGGATCCATTTGGATTTCTGTATACAAAATTTAACTTTTTTTTTCTTCTTCTAGGGATGTCTGTTTTGCTTCTCAAGTTTCTTTCAAATTTCTGGGGCTACCTCAAGATGGAGCGTATGTGGGCCGCACTTGCTAGGCAGTGACCTCCATTCATCCAGACTGAAGATCGCTTTTATCGTGGTACTGTTGCTCTCTGCTGGGTTTGGAAACATCCAGTGTTCCTCTTGGGGAAAGAGGGACAGTTGCCATAACCTGGAGTGACCAATCCCTGATTCCAGGTGCTGATGGGGCTTGAGTGTCACATTCCACTTTATTTGAAAAATATGTGCAAAAGAGTCACGAAGAAGACGAACAAACTGGGCGTTGTCGCAGCCGAGTGGTTTGGCCTTAGTTTGTACAGAGGAATCGTTGGGCACGAAGGATCTGATACAAGGATGGAATCCAGCGGCCCTCGCAACGGGAGGTGAAAATCCTTTTTAAGAGCACTGAAGGTCTGGGACTTCCCTGGGATCGTCAGCTTTGTGAGGTACGGGTCATGTCCCGGGACTGTAACCTGAGGAGGAACAAGAAACAGTTGCATGAGTGATTTCAGAAGCGTGTGAGGCCAAGGCTGAAGACGTCATCTCCGCCACGAGGAGGCAGCCTTTGCGCCTTGAGTGACAGCCTCCCAGGCCAGGGAGTGGGGGGATGGGGAGGCGGGGGCGGGGGCGGGGCTGGTGCCCGCTGAGTTTGCCCAGTGTCTGCTGATACCAAGAATTACAAAATGAAGCTAGGTCAAAGACAGGTTCAGCATCTGGTGTGTGAGTCAGGAGAAAGGAGGAAGCCGCGGGCCGATTCTACCACAGTCATTTTCACAGCGTGCCACGGTAAGGATGGTTTCCTTTGTACCGAGTCTATACTCAGTATCCTTACTGGAACTCTTCCCCCCAGTTTGCTATCATTTTGCTATCATTTTCTTTGCCATTGATCTAAGTGTACAATTCTACTCCTTTAAAAAAAATTTTTTTTAATATGCATGTTTTTTTTTGCCTGTATCTATGTACCACTTGCATGCAGTGCTCACGTACACCAGAAGAGGGCATCAGACCTCCTAGAATTGGAGTTACAGATAGTTGTGAACTGCCATGTGGGTTCTGGGACTCCAGCCAGGGTCTTCTTAACTGCTGAGCCCTTCCACGGATTTTTTAAAAATAACAAACAAACAAACAACAACTTGAAATTTTCTTTTCTTTCTTTTTTTTTTTTTTTTGATTTTCGAGACAGGATTTCTCTGTGTAGCTTTGCACCTTTCCTGGAACTCGCTTTGGAGACTGGGCTGGCCTCGAACTCAGAGAGATCCTCCTGGCTCTGCCTCCCGAGTGCTAGGATTAAAGGCGTGCGCCACCACTGCCCGGCTTTTTTTTTTTTTTTTTGGTTTTTTGCTTTAACTTGAGTTTTTCTAGCTTTGTTCTTATGCATCTTCAGCTAGATTGTGCTTGCTTTGTGTTTTGAGGTCCTGGCTGGCCTAGAACTCACTGTGTAGTCCAGGATGGCCATGGACTCAGAGAATCCACCTGCCTAAGGCTTCCTTTTGAGTCCCTTATGCATCCTAGAAACCAACCTCTTTTCTCTCAGTTCTGGAGACTGTCCTTGAATTTGCTGATTGGCTCCTTTGCCATGTTCTTAATTTGTTTATCTCCTTGTCTATCTTAACTTTTGTACCTTGGGGCCCTATCATAAGAAAATTCATCATTTACACGATGTCTTGAAGTGTTTCCCTTGTTTTCAAGTTTAATATTTGGGCCTTTGGTCCATCTTAAGTTAACTTTTGTGTATATTAAGAATTAAAGATCAAGTTTGATTCTTATACAAATGTCCATCACTATTTATTCTTGAGATTATCTTTTCTTCACTGTATGCTCTTGGTGTTTTACTCAAAGATCTGCTGGCCATATGGACACAGACAAACTTCTGTGTTCCCTATTCTGTTCTGCTGGCCTACATGTCTGTTTCTATGCCTGTGCATGCTGCTTTAATTACTGTAGCTTTGTAGTATGTTTTACAGGTAAGTATTTGTGATACTTCCAGCATTGCCTTCTCCCCCTCCCCAACAGGATTGCTTGGCTCTTCTGGGTCTTTCATGGTTTCATATGAATTTGGTGTGTGTGTGTGTGTGTGTGTGTGTGTGTGTGTGTGTGTGTGTGTTTCCCCCTATTTCTATGAAGTCATTGCTTTTTTTGATGGGAACTGCATTGATTCTAGATCACTTTGGGTGGTAAGGTATTCTGATGATGTTGCCTCTTCTGGTCCATGAATGGGGTAGTTTTGTGTGTTCTCTAATAAATGCTTTCATTAGTGGTTTGCAGTTTTCTTTTCTCGAGACAGGGTCTCATTGCTGCCCTGGAGCTCTGCCTCTCTAGTGATGGGGTTAAAGGCATGTACCACCATATCCTGCTTATAATTTATATTGTATGGATCTTTTGGTTAAATTTATTTTTAAACATCTCATTTGTTTTGGTAGCTATTGTGAATGAAATTGCTGTCTTAATTTCTTTTTCACCAAGTTTATTACTGATACATATACATGCTACTGGCTTTTTTTTTTTAAATTTATTCTTTCATCCTGTAACTCCCTGGAATTAATTTGTAAGGCTCAGCTGCTCTTTGATGGAAGTTAGGTTTTCCTAAGCATAAAACCACGACATCTGTAAATATAATTAACTTCTTACTTTCCAACTTCGATATCCATTTTTTTCCTTGCCTAATTGCGCTTGCTAAGACTTCCTGTATTTGCCTTGTTCCTGACCTGAGAGTGAATGTTTTAGGCTTTTCCCCATTCCGTATGGTACTGCCTATGAGCCTTTCACAGACAGGCTTTGGTAGGTACCTTCTACCTCAGGGAAGCTGAGACGGTCTGCATCTGCAGCCGTGGTCCCAAGGCTGTGGTTGGGGAGGAACCAGGTGAGTGGTTGGTCTGAAGCCACATGGTAGCTCTGTCCCTGGAGCTGTGGGGCTCAGCTGGCACCTGTCTAAGCTCCTGATCGACAGGTGTAGTGAAGCTGTGGACTGAGGCGTTGGCTCGCTGCAGTGCCAAGGCTGTGGCTGGCAGAGCCTTCCCTAGAACTTGTAGGGCAGAGGAGATGGCACTTGGGCTTGGGCTACGGTAGCGGCTGGGCTCTGAGGGATCTGTCTTCTGTTCAGTGAAATGTATAGTGGACCAAGGCTGCGGTCAGAGTCCAGGGTGGGGCTACCAGCTCCTACGCCAAGACGGCGTCCGGTGTGGCTGTGGAATGGCAAGGAAGAGTTTGAAGTGACAGCTTTCTTTGGAACGGGAAAGCCACTTTTCAGAACAGCTCCCCGGACTGGATCTAGAGCTTGACTTTTCATTCTTGGTCTCCTGGCACGCTGGAGCTTGCGGGCACTCCCCTGCCTTCCTGCCTGTCAGTTCTCCCGCAGGCCCCTCCCCCGGGGGCGGGGCCAGGCAGGGCTGAAGTTTCCAGGTGCTTCCTTCCTTCTTTTCAATGGGGTTCCGTTCCAACCATCCTGTCACTACTCCTTTGCTCGTCTTCCGAGTTCTCCCTCATTCATCCCGACAATACAGCGTCTCCTTTTGCTGCCCTGGCCTCTCTCTGGCAGGGCGCCGTGGTGCAAGGCACCTTGGCTCACCTCGGCTTGCTCCTGATCTGAATAATGGGGTTGCACGTGTTTATTAGAACAGCCCTCTCGAGCTGGTGGGATGGTTCACCAGGTGAAAGCCCTTGCCGTGCAAGCCCGACAACCTGAGTTTAATCTGAGTTTGCGGAAAGGACAAATTGACGCCCCGCCCCTCCCACGCCCCGCCGCCGTCTGACCTCTGCATGTGTGCCATAGCACATGTACACGAACATGGAAAAATTGAAGGAAAAAAAAAGTGTTTGGCTTCTATTGAGAATTATCTGCCAGTGAGGAAAACACATGATTTTTCTTCTGGTTTGTTCCCATCATTCCCACCTCCTCCACTCCTTTCCTATCGCCGGTCGGATTTCTCTTTTCTTTCTCCCTTGCTGTCCCCACAGTTAAGGATTTTTTTCCCCCTTACTTTGGGCCGTCCAAGGTTGCATTCTGTTCACACTAGCTGGCCTTACACACTTACATTGATCACGTAGGACCCCGGCAAGAGAAGCAGGTAGTACTCTCCAAGTTTGTTGGTTCGAAACGGGCAGATGTGTTTTCTGTCTTGGACTTCCACGATGACATTCGGCAATGGATTTCCACTCTGATCGAACACTTGACCTTTTACACCTGCAAGACAAAAAGAAAATTAAATATAAATATCAGATTTTGGGATCAGTGAGATGGCTCTGTGGGTAAGAGTGCTTGATGGGCAAGCCTTGGAACCCACAGTGGAAAGAGAGAAGAGACTCCCTAAAAAGCTGCCCACTGACCTCCACATGTGTCCTGCCTGGCACAATAATAATAAAATCGAAGAATTTAAAAGTAAATAAAACCTCTTATGGCACGTGGAAGAAATTTCCACTTTAATGATTTAAGAAATATATTCCTAGTATTCATCTGTCTTAACAGTGTTAAGAAAAGAGAGTAATTTTGATGCCTGTAAATCACAGCCGAGCTACAAGCCTGGTTTATAGCCTAAACTGGCTGGTTATTGGCTATTCAGTGTTTAGCTCACACTATCAAAACGGAAGATCAGAAACAAGAATACCCATTCCTGTCATTTCCAAGTTGTTTGTTTATTCACCACACTGCATTGACACATGATGGTGGTGAATGCTCTAAAGTCCCCCAAAAAACTACTCACTCACAAGATAGTTGTCAACATTTAAGGACTTCAGAGGTTTGTCTTCACACCAGGCAAACTAAGCGGGAAGCAAAATTATAACCACAATGTTGCTTGAACCAAGGAAGTGACTGATGGGGCCTTCTTTTTAGTAAGAGCAGCCCACATTTAATGCGCAATTACTGTGTTCCAAGCTGTAGACTAAGGGCTACGGGTGCATGTTCTCAATGACTCTTCACATCAACTCCTCAAGATGACAAGGCTATTATCAGATTTTTACAGGGCCAAGGGAGTAACTAAGTGGTAAAATTCTTGTCTAGGAGGAAGCGTGATAAGCAATGGCCACAAAGCATGATAAGCAATCGCCAAGACTGCAAAACAAAACAAAATATTGCAAATGTGAAGAATAAGGCTTTGAGTGATTAAAATAACTTTTGTCTTTTTTTTTTTTGTGGTTCAAGGGACCAAATCCTTGCCCTAAACAACCTCCTTAGTCTTAAAAAAAAAAAAAAAAAAAAAAAGGTTTATTTATTACATATACAGTGTTCTGCCTGCATATATGCCTGTAGGCCAGAAGAGGGCACCAGATCTCATTACAGATGGTTGTGAGCCATCATGTGGGTGCTGGGACTTGAACTCAGGTCCTCTGGAAGAGCAGCCAGTGCTCTTAACCCCTGAGCCATCTCTCCAGCCCCCATCCTTAGTCTTATGGTCACCTAAGTGGCAAAGCTGGACCCGAGATGCCAGTCTCTGGAATCCACACTAAACCCATTCTATTAGACTTGTCCCACTCTGAGAGTTCAATGTCCCCCATGCTGGGGATCGAACCTAGGGCCTCCTGCATCCCAGGAAACTCTCCCCTGAACCACACTGGCCACATATTCCAGTTTGTCCCTTCAGTGACAAGCCAGGGTATCTTAAAGTGAAGTCATTTGTGCCTAATGACATCCATGAAAAGCCACCATGGTAACAAGACCTTGGGCTATCTGCAAATAGCTACACTCAGCCATTACTTGCCACGGAAGAAAACCACCGGGCACACATTGTCCTCTGGAAAAGATTGAGGGGAAAGGTGAAGGTCTTGACATTTAGCGACCAAGTCCTTATCTCGACCGTGAAGCAAACCTCTGACCCAGATGACCTGCCTAGGCCTTTCCTTCAGTTCCCGGCTCATTCCCCAGGGAATAGGTCATTGAAGGCCACGTTTCCTTTCCACGGTGTCTGTGGAGGTCAGCTCCGCAAACCCATCTTCATGTGGCTTTTCCCTCTTTTGCCTTTTTATTCAAAGTCCCATTTGTATTTGTTCTTACTATTTACTCAGGGTACTGAAGTTGAAGACTGAAAAGAAACCTGTAGACCCACAGGTTCAGAAAGACCTACGATGGCAAGAGAAGGGAAAGCCAACGGTTGGAAAAAAAAAAAATCAGCCCTGTTGTCAAACCTGAAGGTGCCAGGAGGGTGCGAGCTTCCCTGGGAGACACACACGCACAGCCTCCTGAGTTCTCCATGGTAGAATCTGGAATCTGGTCACCATTCAGAGTGGAAGCCAAACAGTCCCCAGAAAAGTGCTCCTTCAAGCCTGCTGATCATGCAGCACCCTGTTCTGGATCCGATGAAAGATCCATCTCTTGGTCCAACATGGTTCTGGAGCTCAGTACCTATCCAATTTCTCAGAGCCAGGTTGCTTAGTTATCGCAGGGTGGCAAGGGGAGCGTGGGGGGGGGGGAGGATGGGGGATGGTGGGGGGGTGGGGGATGGTGGTGGTGGGGGTAAGCCATTCCTTAGCCTCTAGGTTCAGATCCGCCTTAGAGAGCAGGGGAGGGCCAGGGCAGCGGCTGGTCACACTGTACTCTGCCTCCCAGGGCAGGACATTGCATGCCCAGAATTCAGACTGACCGTCTGATCGACCTCAGGTGTTACCATCTCTAGATATCTTTCCCAGCCCACATCAAGAACATCCTCTAACATAGACACATGAAACCATGGAGCCCAGGTTCAGACTGAGGTCTCCTGTGAGTCCCAGCAGCCCCTCTGAAGCCATAGAACAGGCTGGCGCGAAGCAGGGAGGATGTCTTGTTCCCAACTCTCAGTCGACTACACCCAAGTCTAGTGCTTTCTTGAGCTTTCAAAGAGGCCTCGTGACCAAACCGTGTGGCGTCTACACTGGTTCCTGTCCTCCAGGCAAGGCCCCTGTGCTACATACAGCGGAGGCTTTTCCATCCCAGATAGGGAAGGTAGAGACTTCCAGATGGGTTACCATCTCAGACTCAGAAGCCTCCTAGCACGCGGTGAACTGAATCAGTGGATGAATATGGTGTGACAAGGACCAGGGAGTACCGATAAAGGGGCACTTGCCTTCATCACCTACAAATAAAAGTGCCCCTTGACTTCAGGCAGGGCACTAATAGGGACCGAGACTTTCTATTAAGTAGTAACAACCACGCATCAGTAATTTGAAAGTTTCATTTTTTTTTTTTTGGTTTTTCGAGACAGGGTTTCTCTGTGTAGCTTTGCGCCTTTCCTGAAACTCACTTGGTAGCCCAGGCTGGCCTGGAACTCACAGAGATCCGCCTGGCTCTGCCTCCCGAGTGCTGGGATTAAAGGCGTGCGCCACCACCGCCCGGCTCTCATTTTTTTTTTTTAAATCAGAAAAAAATTTCTGTCTCAAACCACTAGGGGGCAGGGTTGAGACGCTAATAAACACACTGTTAGGTGAGTTCCCAGCTGATTACAGGGACAGGCAGACAGACAAATATTCTCAATACAACACGATTAAATGGGCTTGTATTATTACTTCTGCATTGATACTAACACTACTTACGCTATAATTTGTGTGGTAATTTTCAGGCTGTACAGCTCCTTCACAGTCCTATCCTATCAACATGGCGAGCAAGCCCGCCCTGACTCGGCATCTGCACAGCTAGATTAGAAGTCTACAGGGAAAGCGGTGAGGTGCAGAGACATGTCACGTCTGTCACACTTCCCCAATGACACCGACAAAGGGTGAGTTTCAGAAAAGAGTTCAGAGTAACACAATGAAGGATCGATATTGGGAGAACCCCGGTGGAACGGTTAAATTATTCCAGGACCCATGGGGACTCGGTGAAAGCTGAAATGTCAGAGCGACAGCCGAGGAAACAACAGAGCGATTACATAAGAGGGAGGGGGAAGAGCCAATGAAGATGTCTGCAGTGTTCTGCAGATGCTGGTAAAAAAAATTTCACATTGATTTATTTACTGGGTGTTGGAGGCACACGTGTGCTATGGCATAAGTGTGTGGGGGTCAGAGGACCGTTTGCAGGAGTCAAGTCTCTCCTTCCACCCTATGGGCTCCCAGGCTAACCTCAGGTCATCAGGCATGGTGCAGACACCTTCACCTGTGGAGTCATCTAGGGGGCTCAGACTAGGCTTCTAATTGGAGATGTTGCAAAAGCGTATCGTCAGGTCTTCCTGCTCTTTTGCCGGATTTACGTATCACTCAATATGTAAAGTTAGGGGCACCCTGGGCTTTCACACCCTCAAATCAAGTGAACACGAACCGTCCTGTCTTATGAACAGCTGGGCACAGCACCTCTCACACGCTGCAGATAAAATATACGTAGGGAATCCAAACACTTAGTCCCGGGACTGAAAATGAAGTCCTGCCCCAAGCTCCCAAGAGGTTTTGTATATGCTTAACCCAAAGGTTCTAGGCATGCTGTGTGTGTTAACAAAAATTATTAGACACAAACCTAGGTGCACCTGTTTTATATATTCAATCAAAGAGGCTTTGTTATCATCCCAAAACAATGGCAGCTTCTCTTCTCGAGGATATTTACAGCAGGACAGCTCCAACGTAATTTCAAAACACTGGGCCCAGATGTAGTTGTAATCTTGCATTCCACCTAAAAACAAGCACATTTGATTTTTGTTAAGGTCTAACGCCGGAGAGGAGCCAAGTATCGCATGCCTAGGAAGTGTGTGAGCGAGATAGTCGCAAGGAAGAGCTTAGAAATGGAAAAAGAGGTGTTGGCTGTATTAACTAACATGTCACATCAGGGCTTCACATCTTTATCACCACGTGACCAGACAGACACAAAGAATCCCATGAGGTAACTGGGTTGGAGCTGACCGAAGTTTAGCTATGCACCAAAATTAAGTGAGAGGTGCAGAAAGATCCCTTTTTATTTTTAGAAATCCTACATTTCAAACAGTTTTTCCTTAAATTGCATTTTAATTGGAAAGTACTAGGGATATGGCTGAGGGGCAGAAGTTATATCTTATATGGATACAAGCTAGAATAGGAATTCTTTCTTCTTTTTTTTAAAGAGTAACTTATTTGGGAGAGGGAGGAGAGGAGATGATGTAAATCCAGTATTCATGTCCTCAGAAACATTTTCAATTAAAATTATCCCACAAAAAGAAAGAAAGAACCATTTATTGACTATGCCACAAAAAGGCAGTGGGGTAAGTAGTCTTACTGCCTGCAGAAGGGGCTGCCCAGGACAGCGGAGTAAGATCCTTCTTAAAAATATTTCTGTAGAGCTGGAGAGAACACACAGCAATTAAGAGTACTTGGTACTTTACCAGAAAACCCGAGTTCAGCTCCCAGAACCCACATCACGTGGCTAAAACCAGCTATAACTCCAGCTCCAAGGATCTGACCCCTCCTGGCCTCCTCAGACACCTGCACACATGTGGCATACACTATACACACACACACACACACACACACACACACACACACACACACAAAATTTTAAAAAATTCTTTACAAAATATCTCTGTAAGCTATAAAATCCATGGACTAAATCCAAGAACCCTAGTTTTAGAGGAAATAATAATGTCTAATGTTTACTGAATATTCAGTGTTTTCGGTTCTTTCCAAAGACCTCTCTATCACCTCATCCAATCGGGACAGCAGTCCCTTCTTCAGGGCAGCAGCCATAGGTATTAAGTCACGCAGGTCCAGGGACTCTTGCCTGTGGGTGGCAGAGACCAGGGTGCAGCCATTTTGCAGGACCCTTGTGGCTTTGGCCCTCGTTATGGCAAAATGTTTCTGAGGCTCAGAGAAAGGACCCTGTTGGGCTCAGACTCAGGTCCCTGTGGCTTCCAGCTGTCATTTTTTGACATTAGGAGACCCTACTTTCAAAAGGTTATAATTAGAGCATATTTTGTTTGGCGTGAAGTTTCATATGTGACATCTCTGGATTTATGTGTCTTAAAGTTTATGCCTGAAAAACCTGTATTTAACTGAGGAGATTTAAGAGTATTCTTCCCTGGTGGCATGTTGTATTTCATAGGAATGGACATCTTAGAGTTGATGAAATGCAGCACGTTTTCTGTTCCTTCTCTTTCTCCTGTACTGTACTGAAGTCTCCTCATCATCCTGGGTAGGTGGCCCACCACTGAGCCACATCACCAGCCCTCTAGGTAGCTTTGAAGGAAGTGGATTTTACCTTCTTACACCTGATACCTGGTCTGGTTTGAATAGGAAATGTCCTCCTGCAGGCTCATGTTTGGTCCTGGCAGAGGCAGGGTGGCATCTGTCCTGGGGTCTGGCTAGTGGCCTCTGCTTCCTGATCTGCCAATAGCCCCCCCCAGCTCCCCAGCCCCCCCCCCCCCCCCCCCCCCCCCCCCGCCTCAACCCATCATGCCAGTGTGAGGTGAAGGAAATCCTCCTTCCTCTAAGATGCATCTGTCATTGTCTGTGATGATAAAAGCAATTACTACAGTATCCGCCTGAGAAAATGCAAAAGGGCATTCTCAGTTCTGCCAGGTATCGGAGAAGTTCAGTTTCAACAAAATGGTCAAGGTGTGGAGAGATGGCTGTGGTGTGTGTATGTGTGTGTGTGTGTGTGTGTGTGTGTGTGTGTGTGTGTGTGGCGTGGTAAGAGTACTGTCTGCAATTACAGAGGACCCAGGTTTGGGTCCCAGCACCTACAAGGCAGCTCACAACCCTCTGTAACTCCAGCTCCTGGGGAGCTGACACCCTCTTCTGGCCTCTGTGGCACAGCACACACGTGGTTCCCAGACACGCATGCAGGGAAAAACACTCACATACATAAAATGAACATATAAATAAATCTTTTTTAAAAACTCAAAAAGAAAATGTCAAGTAATCTATATAGACCCAGATTCTACTGACAAAGAATTCCTCTGTCCTTTCAATTTTCTTTTTTTAAAATTTATGGATGTTTTATTCCTCTCTGAATTCATTCACACACACACACACACACTTGCAAATAACTCGCAACCACTTTGGGAATTTCCACACATCTGGATTTTCGTCTTGGCAGTCACAGTGGCCATGAAGGACAGTTGTGCCACGGAACAGAAGGTCCTTTGTCGAGACGGAGAGGGAGGTCCAGGACTCTGCTGGTGACCTGAGGTGGGTGGGAGCAGATCTCGAGCAGCGGGATGAATTTTAGGGTGCCTCTGTGTCTGGTGGGGCCCACTGCCTGAACACCATCAATTCTGGTCTATGCTTATTTACTTCGTCTGGAAAACTGGCAGTGGGCCACCAGACACAAAAGTACCAGTTTGTGCTAGATCACTAGACAGCCCATGTACCCAGAGTGACAGCTGGGGAAGGCGCCTGTGGAAATGGCCTGTGTGCAGACATGCAGGCTGCAGCTTGCTGTCGGTGGACCAGGCTGTAGTCTGGGAGGAAAGGCTGCTCCTCTCTAGCATGAGGAAGCTCCTCCTGCCCTCTCTCCCTACATCCCTCCTCGAGTTTCTCAGTATCTAGACTAGTCCCAGTTTCGATACACCCCTGGGCTTCCGTGTTGACGTCACTCTTTCTGATAAGTGTGAGCTAAGCCTTAGGGTGCGGGCCCGTAAATTCCAGTTGCTTGGGAGGCCGAGGCAGGGGATTTGAAAGTTCAAAGCCAGCCTGGGCAATCTAGTAAGCCCCTGTCTCCAAAGAGAAGTAAAAAGCGGGCTGGGGATAGTTCAACGACAGAGCACTTCAAATCTGCACTTGGACGTGCAAAGCCCTGGCTTCACTGCCCAATACTGCCAAGAAGACAATACAGGACAAAATAAAAGAGGAATAGCCTTCCTCTGAGTCCCTCCTCCTCCATCATCATCCCTCCTTTGTCTGGCCATCTTTGGAAAGAGACTAGCCACATGGGCTCCACTACTGCATGGTCATAATCAGTGGCAGCCTGGCACCAGTCAGCTTTGGCTGTAGACCCCTTATATATACAGTGTTCTGCCTGCACATATGCCTGTGGGCCAGAAGAGGGCGCCAGATCTCATTACAGATGGTTGTGAGCCAACCTGTGGTTGCTGGGAATTGAACTCAGGACCTCTGGAAGAACAGCCAGTGCTCTTAACTGCTGAGCCGCAGAGTCAACAAACAAACGTCTGAGTGCGTGAAGGAGGCCCTGAGCAGTGAGGCCCGTGTCTGCTCATCTTCCAGAACTACCGGTCACCTCCACTGCTCCTGTGATATTATGGGATGGAGACCGACTGAGGGACTGCCTTGTGCCTTAAAGATCTTTCGACACTAGCTGGTAATGCCAGCCGAAGGCAACAAGGCAAAGACAAGGAAGAGGAGCTCACCTTGCAGTGGATACCAGGAGTACCCGTTAGTGATTCCATTGGGGAAGTTCCTTTTGTTTTTACACTGATCTCCCTTCGTCATATTGGGGTTCCGGGAAGCATAGGTATACGCGAGGTGTTGAAAGACGTCGTCATCTGGAGTTAGGCTTCGGGACAACAGCGTCCCCGTTGCTGTGTTAGAAAGACAAAGGGGCACGTACAACACACATCAGTTGACACAATCACAGGATGCGCAGACAGCCTCCTTCCTCACTTCTGCACACCCCCTGGGGTAGTTTGAGTGTAACTGGCCTCCATAAACTCATGGGGAGTGGCACTATTAGGAGGCGTGGCCTTGTTGGAGGAAGTATGTCACTGTGGGGGTGGGCTTTGAGGTTTCTTTTGCTCAAGCTATATGCTGTGTGACACTCAGTTCACTTCCTGTGGGTCAAGATGTAGAACTCTCAGCTCCTTCTCCAGCACCGTATCTGCCTGCATGCCGCCATGCTTCCCGCCATGGTGATAATGGACTGAACCTCTAAAACTGTAAGCCACCCACAATGAAATGTTTTCCTTTGTAAGAGTTGCTGTGGTTATGGTGTCTGTTTATAGCAGTAGGAACCCTAGCTGAGATATGCCATCCCCTCCCCCCTATCTTCTTTCTACTTTTTAACCAACAAGGGTATCATCTCACAAAATAGTCTAAAAATGAAGTCACTTCTTCATCATACTTGTCATTTTCTGGAGTTCAGCAACTCCCCTTAGGTGCTGCTAGAGGTTAATGGATGCTGCTGTCACACTTCCAATTCTTTTTAGTTGTTTGTTTTTTGAGACAGGGTATCTCTATGTAATCCTGGCTGTCCTGGATCTCGCTCTGTACACCAGGCTGGCATTGAACTCATGGAGATCTGCCTGCCTCTGCCTCCTGAGTACTGGGATTAAAGGTGTGTAACACCATACCTGGCCCTTATACTTAAAACACATCTCATGCAACAGACTCTAAGGCCGGGTTCTCAACCTCCCTGATGCTGCGACCCTTTGATACAGGTCCTCATGCTGTGCTGACCCCCAACCATAAAATTATATTTGTTGCTACTTCATAACTGTAATTTTGCTACTGTTTTGAATCATAATGTGAATATTTGATAGGCAGGGCATCTGATATGCAACCCCGTGAAAAGGTCGTTGGACCTGCAAAGGGGTCGCCACCCACAGATTGAGAACCACCAGAGTCAACACTGTTCATGAGATTTAAAAAAAAAAAAAAAGAAGGTAAACCATTCTGGTTTTATTTTCTTTTAGCCACTTGACCTACGTCTGTGAAACGATCTATGTCTGGCTGTCGGATTTCCCCCACGGATATCTTGTTACTGGCTGTCATTTCAAGCCACACTGCCCATCCACTGTTGAAGAATTATACGAAGACCTGGCCATGTCGTTCGGGATGCACAGTGCTTGCCTAGCATGCACAAAGCCCTGGGTTTGAGCCCCGGTATTTCATAAATCAGGCCTGGTGGTGCATGCCTGTGAGGGTCAGAAGTTCAAGGCCACTCTCAGCCACATAGTCTGTTTCAGGCGCCCTGGTTGGTGCACATGAGATTCATTCTTACTCCTTTTCTTCCACCAACAAACGAACAAACAACAACAAAAACCCAGTGACAGGAAGGATTGCTCAGGGCTGGGGACAGCAAGGCTCTTTTTCCGGCCAGCCAGAGAAAGTTAAGGGAGGGTTGCAGGGTTCATTCTGCTCCGGGGGGTGGGGTGGGGGGTGGGGGGAGTGGGGGGGTGGGAGGTGGAGTGCTTCCAGCTCAGGTCTGCCAGAGCAGGGTGGGGGGGGGCACATCACCCACCTTGCACGCCATTGTCGAAGGGGTAGCTGGCTACCAAGGCACCGCCATGGAGATTCGCCGAGAGGACAAAAGTCTCCGTTTTCAGCCACTTCATGACGGCCAGCGTCTCAGGCTGCTTTGACACGTTATTGTTTTCAAAGGCATCGGGGAAGTTTCTGTTCAGGTCATAACTGTTGTAATTTTCCCTTTAAAAGAAAGGATTTTGTTTATTGGGGTGTGTGGGTGTGGGGGAGTGGGATCTTGCTGCGCACAGACCTGAGACTTGGGTTCCAGGTGTTTCCCAGATGTGCATGCAAGCGCGCGCAGCGGATGATTGATGTGGGGACCTCTCACGAATCGTACCTAAAGTTCCCGTCCCCTACTGTGTTGTGATTTGCTTTCCCGAAGGGACGTGAGCTACTGTGTCGCCAGCAGAAGGCTGGACAATTGTCTGCATTCTGGGACTTTTTGTTCTTGGAACACGGCCTTTTAGACACCGAGGCACCACGGGTAGCCACATGTGGGCTGTGCAGAACAATGAGGAACACAGGTGACAGCCAGAATTCGACGGCGCCAGACACACGGCCCCAGGCTAACTGTCTCAGTCAGACCTGAGCTGAGGCCCTAGATGAAGCAGGGACTGACATCCATCTTGCTTTGCCCCTCTTAAATTCGGGACTTCTGGAACCAACAGTCCATAAAAAGGCTCCAGTCACCACGCTTGGCAGTGGCTCCTTACCCCGCACCGGAGGGCAGAGACTGGTCACTTTATATAAACACGCCTCAGAATCCTGGCGTGACCATGCTTAGCTGTGCTAGGAGAGTCCAAGATGAAGGGACTCCAGAAGTGAGAGTTTACTTATTTATTTTTGGCAAACCCGATAAATTTATAAACCGTGCAAACACACGTTGTCTATGAAGCACAGAGAAACTCTAAACTCCCTGAGGCACTTTGAAACAAAATACACTATTAGACCGGGCCATAACACCCACACTTCTTAGGGTACTGGATTAATAAACCAATGGGTCATTTGGGAGGGTCTGTGTATGATGCTTAGGCATTGGTTCTCAACCCGTGGGCCATGACACACTTGGGGAGATCAAACAATCTTTTCACAGGGGCTGCATATCAGATATCCTGAATATCAGACATTTACATTATGATTCATAACAGTAGCAAAATTACGGCTATGAAGTCTCAACGAAATAGTTTTATGGTTGGGGGTCACCACAGCACGAGGAGCTGGATTAAAGGGGCTGCAGCACTGGGAAGGTGGAGAACCACTGTGCGAGGCCAATGCCGAGCTAACGATGAGAAACACCATGATAAACTGCCCTTAGTAGCTTGCAGGTTAGTGGAGAGAAAGCTATTAAAGAAGAAATTAGACTTTAGGGGCCCGTGAGATGGGTTACCAGGTAAAGGGCCCGATGCCAATCAAGCCCGGGGACCTGAATTTGCTCCCCAGGACCCACCCACATGGTGAAAAGAAGAATCACCTCCCATAAGTTATTCTCTGATGCCCACCGTGGCAGGCCCTCGATCATGCCCCACAAATAAATAAATAAACATAATAAAAATTGTACCATGAAGGTATAGTGTCAGAGGGTCGGAAGGCACACAGGAGACTGAATACACATTTGGGGAAAGAGTCTTTGTGGGAATGCTATTTGGGCAGTTGATGGGGGTGAAGAATGGAAATGGATGGACACAGTACCTGAGCTGAGAAAGCACCCAAGAGTTCCAGGAGAAAGAGAGAGGCCGAACGAAGCAGGGAGGGTGGGGAGTGGTCAGTAGAGGTCGAGGGACTAGGTTGGCACCATGTATCATCCTCCAGGATGGAGGCCTGAAGCGCCTCAGGGCACCTGTGACAAGCACTGGCTCTGGGGTGCTTTATCGGGGGTGACTCCCTCTGGCCAGGGCCGGTGGGTGCCTGATGGGAGAGCAAGCCCTCTTTACCTTCCGTTACTGTAGTAACAGTCGGGCTTCTTGACGGCTTCAAATCCATCGGGGTTCATGGACGGCATGATGTGGATCCGGGTGCTGTCGATTAGGTGTGTGATTTCGGCGTCTTTCCCGTGACTGGTCACCAGATAGTCAATCAGGTGGAGCAGCAACTCCCGCCCCACGGTCTGTGTGCAAAAGAGGCACGGGGCTATGGTTGTTAAGTCAGAAACAATGAGGAAAGAGTTCCCCAAAGCACAGCTCCTTCTGTGGGGGTCTCCACATTTGCTATCTTAGGTCAGAATTCATTTGTGAGATCACTGGTTTTCTTTCCTTTTCTTTTTCCTCTCTCTCTCTCCCTCCCTCCCTCCCTCCCTCTCCCTCTCCCTCTCCCTCTCCCTCCCCCCCCCCCCCCTCTCTCTCTTCCCCTGAGACAGGGTTTCTTCGTGTAATAGCCTTGGCTGTCCTGAGCTCACTCTGTAGCCCAGGCTGGCCTTGAACTCACAGAGATCCTGCCTGGCTCTGCCTCCCGAGTGCTGGGATTAAAGGCATGCGCCACCACTGCCGCCCGGACACTGGGTTTTAATGTGATTAATTTCATTAATTGATCTCAGGGTTGAAGCGGCTTTCAGAGTTCCATAGTCTCCTTTGGCAGCCTCTGCTTTTGTACATCTGTGCTATTTTTCTGTATATTTCTGATTTTTACATTCTTATGGCCATGGCAAATAATGACTTTATTATTTGCTTATTATCCACATACCATTCAGTTTTTGCCATCTGAATGTGTTATATGCTATTATTTACATTTTCTTCAAATACGCTCACTTTCTTGTTTACATGGAAAGTAAAACTTCTGGCTGGAGAGAGGGATCAATAAGGTAAGAGCACTGGGCTGCTCTTCCAGAGGACCCGGGTTCGATTCCCACATGGCAGCTCATAACTCCAGTGCCAGGGTCCAGTGCCCTCTTTTGGCCTCTGTCGGCACCAAGCACTAATGTGGTGCACATACAGGCAGGCAAAAGACCCAGACATAAAATGAAACTAATAATCAAAAATTAAAAATTAAAGCAAAACCGACTGATTCCAGCAGGTTGTCCTCTGACCGCCACATGTAAGCCCGTGACACGTGTGTGCCCAAACACTCGCACACACATACACACACACACATGCACATACACATACCCCCTCTCTCTCAAGTACACCCAATAAATAACACATAATATAGAAACTTAAAAAAAAATCCAGAATATTAAGCTCCCCATCCATTTTTTTTAAGATTTATTTTATTTATTATGTATACAGTATTCTGCCTGCATGTGTCCCTGCAGGCCACAAGAACTCAGGTCCTCTGGAAGAACAGCCAGTGCTCTTAACCACTGAGCCATCTCTCCAGCTCTTCCCCATCCAGTTTTACTTCAGTTTTGTTTTCTGGTTAATACATTACATTTGACTAAATTTCATGCATTTTACATACCGAATATGCCACATATTTTATTCTAGATTTTTAAACTTTTTGTTTAACTTTAATTTTTTTTCTGTGTATGGCTGTTTTCTTGCATGTATGTCTGTGCACATGTACATGGCAGGTGGGGCCAGAGACGGGCATCGGGTCCCCTGGAACTGAACTTGGGTGCTGGGAACTGAACCCGGGTCCTCTTGAAGAGTGGCCAGTGCTCTTAACTGCTGAGCCATCTCTCCAGCCTCCTCTGCCAGATTATTTTCATTTCTCCTGAAAGATATGAATTTCTAGAAAGATTTTGAAAATATTAACAACAGTCATTCTGGGTGATAGTTCCTGGATTGCTTCTCAATGCTTATTTTTCTAGTATCACGTTTGAAACTGGAGAAAACCCATGTTGTCTTCATAAAATAATAAAATAACGTTTCTTTCAGAGGAAATCCGTCTGTAACCAGAGAAGTATCTGTCTTAATATTCCAAAATAAATCCCTAATGCTTAACTACAGAAGGTAAAAAAAAAAAGTCTCATAAATATGAAGAAACAACCAGGCACCAGTTAGTTTAAAAGGCTGAGGCAAACACACACGATGTCTCAGAGGGAGTTAAACAAGATCCTCTTGTTATTTTCTTTATGGGGCCATATTTGCTGCCCCTGTGATTTATGACAAATATTATTCAAATGTATTCTTCCCAGCCTGGATATAAATGCCTCAAATACTCATTCATGTTTTATGTATAAATCTCCCTTTCTTCCTTAAGTTTAAGGCTTGGAGTAAGAAACCTCAGGCGCTCAAACTTTAAGACAGACTGTGGTGAATTGGCCCCTCAGCTTAACCAGCTTTTCTCTACACTGACTTGCTGGAGACTGCAGACGGCTCATGAGGGTCCCCAAGAATGATGGCAGGCCCGAGAGCCACGCCAGCTTCTGGGACACCCTCCCCAACCTCCCCCTTCTCTACTCAACTCAGAGAGCAGAAAACAAATTCCTGATCAGTTTAGTTCAACGCAGCCAAGTGGAAGCTGGCCAGACAGGTAAAAATGAGTCCGAGTCTCAGTCTACAAAGAATGCTTAGAAGTAGTGGAAAATTCTGAAAGAATCTCCATGACAGGTGCCAGTGAGAGAGCAAGTGGAAAGGAGGAGGGAGAGAGAGAAGGAGAGAGAGAGAGAGAGAGAGAGAGAGAGAGAGAGAGAGAGAGAGAGAGAGAGAGAGGAAGGGAGGAGAAAACTTGAACCAGGGGGAGTTGTTTTTAAACTGCTCCCTGGGTGTGGTAGCACCTGTCTTTAATCCCAGCACTCCCGAGGCAGAGGCAGGCAGGTCTCCGTGAGTCCAAGGCCAACCTGGTCTACAGAGTGAGTTCTAGACTAGACAGGACAGCATAGTGAGACTGTATCTCAAAAAACAAACAAACAAACAAAACAAACAAAAACTATGCTGTAAGGCAGCTGGGGGTGGTGGTAGCAGCAATAAGTCTGTCCATTTGGGTTGTTGCAGGGTTAATCCATTTGTCTGATTGCGTGGTCCTCCTTGCTCAAATGTTGGCCTAAATATTACACTATCTAGCGTGCTTTCTCTGGTCGCCGCGTCCGGGCTGCGGCCCCGTTACATTGGACATCTCTGTTACTAAAACAGGCTACAGTCTCGGGACTAACCACCCCTGCCCATTCCGCTGAGGCCTTCAGAGGAGGGATCCTGACTGTTCTCCTCTGGACCCTCGGGTCCTCTGGATGGTCTTACCGAGCTTCTGCCATAGCAGGCATCCGATAAACAAATGCTAATAAATTACCGTTGCCAAACACGTTACAAGATCAGGACTATTCTAAGGAAGAAGCAAGAGGCCCTAAGGGAGAGATGTGCACGTGATAAATTTAGCCAAGAGACTTTCGGTGTTGAGCAGGTTTTGCAGAGTGAGAGCTGATAGTTCTGCAATGGCAAGAACTCAGGGAATCTGGTCACATTAGGCCAAAGGGAGACAGAGAACAGGCTGATCATATGAGCAGTCTAACTAACACATGCTTCAAATCAGATACTTCACCTGGAATTCTCATTAGTTCTGCCTAAATCCCCAAACAAAGAATTGAATTATCCGAAGCCACACTGCCTACATGAGAATGCAGAACAGTAATAGGAAGAAAAAAAACAAATCTGGGAAGTGACATTTGGAAGGGCAAATTTTACTGTTGGGTTTTGTTTTCATAAATGTGGAACCCTGACCATTGAACTACACACCTTCCAGGCTGTCTTAGTTTATTTTCTATTGTTGTGATAGACTCTATGACCAAAAGCAACTTGGGGAAGAAAGGTTTGAACTCATCTTACAGCTTGTAGTCCGCTAGGAAGGAAGCCAGGGCCGGAGCCTGGAGGCAAGAACCGAAGCAGAGGCATGGACGAGTGCTGCTTACTGGCGTGCTTATACACAACCCAGGTTCACCTGACACCGTCACAGTGTGCTGGACCCTCCCAAATTGATCATCGATAACATCCATAATGCTACTACATGTGATGGAGCTTTCAAAGTCTATAGCAAATAAACAACCAGAGTAAAAAACATTTCATTGCCATAAATTATGGGAAGGTATGATACAAACCTTTAGAAAAAAATCCCCTAAAAATCCTAGCGCCTCACCACTATAAAAAAACAAAACAAAACAAAACAAAACAAAAAAAAAAAACAGAACTGCAATTCAGTTAAACTTAACAACTATTCACTGAGAAATTCATTTATTTCTACGGTAATCAGGACACGGGCCCTGAGGTCAAGGGAACCTGAGCTAGTGCCCGGCTCCGACCTCCTCTTTGTTGCTGGGTTAGCTGAAGGCTTGGCGCTGGCTCCTTCAGCACACTTGTGACCTGCCTAAGTACTTCCTCCTAAGAACAAGTAGAGATGGATGGTTTATGAAACTGGAGATTGCGTGTGTCAGTTTTTTTTTTCTACAAAAATTTAAAAAGCATGGGCTAGAAAATAGGTCCAAAACAGTGGGAAGAGCTTGTGGAAGAACAGGGGTCCCTACCCTTGCTTCTCTCTGGCAATCCGGGTCCTGGGGATCAAGCTCAGGTCATCAGCCTTGGCAGCAGGTGCCTTTACCCCCATGAGCCATCTCTCTGGTCCTTAACATTATTATTTTAATGTAAAGATACATGGTTTTCAAAGAAGGCACTAAAGAGACAAAGTGGAAATTCACAAGGTGACAGAAATGGGCCCTGATGCTGCAAACTAATCTCGTCAAGCAAATAGAACCAATTATGGACCCCCCCTCCCCGCCATATGGTGGTGTCTAGGGGAGAGAGGAAATGTCCTCAAAAAAATTGTGTGGTACATTTGGTCTGCCACACCACTCAGTATGTATGCGTCCTACAGGAATTCACTATAAGGTCCTAAACTTCTGGAAGCGCTAAAGATCCTGGGGTCGGAGGTTCAACTTTATATCAGGAAAGCAAGAAATACCTCTAAAGAAGGGATAAAGTCACTGCCCAAGATGTTAGCTACGTTGATTTTTTTTTTTTTTTTTTTTTTTTTTTTTTTTTTTTTTTTTTGGTTTTTCGAGACAGGGTTTCTCTGTGTAGCTTTGCGCCTCTCCTGGAACTCACTTGGTAGCCCAGGCTGGCCTCGAACTCACAGAGATCCGCCTGGCTCTGCCTCCCGAGTGCTGGGATTAAAGGCGTGCGCCACCACCGCCCGGCGCTACGTTGATTTTTAGGAGGACTGAAATCAGCAAGAATTGAAGATACTTTCAATTCCAAAAGATGTAAGAGGAACATGGTGGGGCTCAGATTTTATGCCCAGAGTAATTCCTCTGCTTTCAGGTAGGTTGTCCCTGTCTCCAGCTCCTGGAGGCACTAGTAGGGGGGCAGAGCCCACAGCCACAGCCATTCACTGGGACATAGAAGGCATTCATTCACAATCCTTCAGATCCCCACTCAGAACACACGAAGGCTTTCTCCGCCATCCCTCCACCCCAAATCCATTCTCAGAGTTCCTTAAAGACTGGGGGTGAAGTGGAGAGTCTGGGTTTGATGGGACATAGTGATGCTCCGGAGAGAGAGGACCAAGAGTTCGTGAAAGAACACAGAAAGGACAAGCAACCATAGCTAGGCAGGGAGAGAGAGACCACGCTCCTCTCTGGAAGTTTCAGTGCTGAGGATTAATTTCCCAGCAGCAGCCTGTGACCTCTGAATCCCCGGGAAGTCAATAAATAACTTCCTGAAGACAATGGGTGCCACCTGTCTCATATTAAAAATGGACGCTAGGGACCCTTGATCAATGGACTAGATAGAAAAAGGAAGTCTGGGCTGCTGTGTGGAACAGACAGCCGTTCAATAAAAGCAATTTTGGGCAGACTCCCAGCAACATAAAGTCTTTTAAAGAAACAGTCCATTAGGATTAGGATTAAAAAAGCAAAACAAAACAAAACAAAAACAAAAAAAATAGTTGCATTGTTCTTTACCCACCCCAAATCAGGTTCCTTTCTTGCAAGCATGTATTTGCATTTTAACTCTGGCTGCAAGAAACATCCTCTCAGCAGGACGGGTTGGGTGACATGCTTGTCAAGGGTTGGCCGTGTGTGTCATAGAGGGTGGAGCCCAGGTCCTACGGAACCAGAGCTTGAGGAGGTTAAATCGGGTCACGAGGTTCAGCATTGATGAGAGCATCCCACTCCAGCTATTGCAAACAGAGAATGATTTGGTAACCAGCAGGCTGTGCTACCTGCCATATGCACTGACTCTGAAATTCCTAAAGGCTAAATATGCACTTTATATATGGTACCTCATACATTCCCCTATCAATTTCCCTTACTGTGGTAACTGGGTGCTACCATTTCTTCCTCAGCTGTGTGTGGAGTCTGGTATACAGAAAACATTGAAAGTATCCAGAGGAAGCAAGGTGGGAAAAATCAACTCCTGGTTGGTTTTCTGTCAACTTGATACAAGCTAGGGTCACGTGGGAAGAGGGAACCTGAGTTGAGCAAATGCCTCCATTAGAATAGCCCGTAGGCAGCATTTTCTTGAGTAATGAATGATGTGAGAGGGCCCAGCCCACTGTGGGCGGTGCTAACCCCTAGGCTTGGGACATATGAGAAAGGAAGCTGACTGTGAGCTAGGGAAAGAGGCTGTAAGTAGCTTTTTCTTCAGGATCTCTGCTTCAGTTCCTGTCCTGAGCTCCTGCCCTGACTTCCCTCAATGACCTGGAATAAAACTCCCCCCTCCTCCACTCCAAGTTGCTTTTGGTCATGGTCTTCGGCACTGAAAAAGAGAGCAAACTGGGGCACCAGCCATTGTTGCAAGAGTGGTAAAAAAGGTATTTTGTGGAACAAAATAAAAACAGTGCTCATCTCCTCTCACTTGGAAAAAAACATACTAAAGAGTCTAAGTGTGGTGATGGGATGGTGGTTGGAAGGAATGCTGTGTGCATCTAAGCTTGCACCCTGAAGGCACCGGAGCTGTGACGGACAGCTCCGAACGCCATGTTCGTGGGCTGGAGGAGCAGCTCAGGGACGAAGTACTTGCCTAGAAAGCACGAGACCTGGTTTCAATCCCCAGCACCATAAATGAATAAATAAAGATTAAAATGAAAAATGAAAAAACTAAAAATGCCAGATGCTGGGAGTCTGGATGACTGTTTGGTGCCTCCTCATCGCTTTGAGTTCAAGTACAACAGAACCCCTGTGCTGGGTTTCCTAAACATCGACAGGAGATAGGAAATCAACCCAGAAGGGAGCTGCTGGACAGGGCTGGAGGCCGCTCAGAGAGTCAACACAAAAGCAGCTCTGGTTACTCTCTCAAGAGACCAAACGTACAGCCACATTGTCTGATGTTGCTTGAGCTGGCCCCCTCAATTTCCTCCCAGGTCTCCCAGGGCTGCTTGACTATGATGCGTGATCCTCATCCAGGCTTTCTCGTCAGTGTTGACACAAGACCATGAGAAACCTGAGGGCAATTTCACCCAGGGCACATACCTCATCCCCGTGCATATTAGCCACGTATTTGAATTCAGGAATTCCAACTCTGTGTTCCTTTGGAGACTGGCCCACGACGAGAACCCACAGGTTTCTACCTTCACAGGGAAGAAGGAGAGAAAAAGAAGAGAAAAATAAGTTATCTCATAAAATGACAACTGAACTCTGAGAGAATGGGAAGGGAGGCACGCTTCTCCCTCCTGGAGACTTTACAATGTCATGGTGACTTATGTTCATGGGACGAACGTTTCCATGCTTCAAATGCTCATTATTTACCATCAGAGTGAAAAGAAACTCGACTTAATAAAAACATTTATTATTCTAGAATGTAATTTAAAAGAGCAATATATTAGGTTACGTTGATCTTATTTTTCCAAATGTTTACATACTGTGTTCTGGGATCCCGGAGCCTTGTAGCAACAATCTTGCTGAAACACACAATTACACAGTGAAATCGCAGTTGATGGTTGACTGGAAGAGTGCCATAGCTTATAAGCAAGAAAGGAAAACTTATAATTCAGGAGGGAGATTTTTTTTTTTTAAAGTAAGAAAGGTCTTGTATTCTTGTCTTGTACTGTAGGTCTAGTATTGAGTGCTGATGTGGCCTTGGCTGTACCTTTGTACTTCTGTGTTGTGTTTTGTTTTCTCCAGTGGTGGGAAATCCAAGGCTCAGCACACCAGCAAGGCATGTGCTTGCCCACTGATGAACATCTCTTCTCACCCTCTCCTTGTTTTTTTTTTTTTAAAGCTTTATTTATCTTTATGTCTATGAGTGTTTGCTTGTATGCTTGTATGTATACACATTGCATGCATGTATGTATACCTCTTGCATGTATACACGTTGCATGCATGTATGTATACCTCTTGCATGTATACACGTTGCATGCATGTATGTATACCTCTTGCATGTATACACGTTGCATGCATGTATGTATACCTCTTGTATGTATACACGTTGCATGCATGTATGTATACCTCTTGTATGTATACACATTGCATGCATGTATGTATACCTCTTGCATGTATACACGTTGCATGCATGTATGTATACCTCTTGCATGTATACACGTTGCATGCATGTATGTATACCTCTTGCATGTATACACGTTGCATGCATGTATGTATACCTCTTGTATGTATACACGTTGCATGCATGTATGTATACCTCTTGCATGTATACACGTTGCATGCATGTATGTATACCTCTTGTATATATACACATACATGCATTGTATGTATACCTCTGTGTGCCTGGTGTCTAGGAAGTCAGAAGAGGTTGTCGGATCCCCTGGAACTGAAGTTACAGATGGCTGTGAGCTGCCATGTGGGTGCTAGGAGTTGAACCTTGGTCTTCTGGAAGAGCAACCAGTGCTCTTAACTGCTGAGCCATCTCTCCAGCCCTGCTCTTTGGTGTTTTTGAGACCAGGCTGGCCTTCAACTAACAAGTCTTCTGTGTAGCTCTCCCAAGTGCCAGGGTGACAGGCATGAGTTGCCATGCCTGGCTTCGGCTGTGCCTTTGAGTCTATTGAGTTCCGTCAAGTAAGCCAGAAACCACAGCCCGAGCTAAGAGTGCCAAGGAAAAGCTTGCAAGTCCCCTTTTGGCCACAGACTGTGGTGCAGGCAAGCAAGGGCAGAAACAGGGTCACCGAGGCTGTGCGTGTGGCGGGCCGTACAGCTGGCGCTCTGCCGCAAGTAATCGTAAATGCTTTCTTGTCGTGAACCACTGAGCTAGACTGCCAATCAAACTCCACACCTGGGAAGCTATTACGCAAACTGCCATGATCACACAGTAAGAGACTATGACTTGGTCCCCAGAGTGAAGAACGGAATCCTGGCCTATTTAACTGCAATTCTAGCATTCCTCCTACCAACCAACAAGACTCCTCTTCAAGGGGATAAACTTCCAAGCTGGTAACACGATCAAGAAGTCAAGCCAGGCATGGTGGTGCACGCCTGTAATCCCAGCACTCAGGAGGCTGAGGTAGGAGGATTGCCATGAGTTCAAGGCCAGCCTTGGGCTACATAAGCAAGAACCAGGCAAGCCATGGCCATATAGCAAAACACTGCCTTAACCCCCTCTCCTACCAATAACCTAGATTAAGAAGTCTCTTTTGATTTTAAAATTGTTTAGCTCTTTTAGTACAGTTTCAGAGATTTATATAAATATATAAACATATATAATTATAAAGTAGATATATCATGCATATATACATAAATACAAATACATATATATACACACACAGAATTCATGTATCTGTGATAACTGTGCTATATGTGGAATTTAAGAGCCTAGGAAAGGAGCGAAACAGCAACAAATGGGCTAATGCTGAGCAGGCGTCGGCAGGTTTTCAGATCTAGCTCCTTCAGTCAGGGATACCTAGGGGCTGAGGAACGCTCACTGTCCCGAGGGACCAAGGGGAAGCACGCACTGGACTCATCTTTTTCAGCATGTATTCATAATGAATTGGAATAAAACTTTAGGGAACTCTGCCATGACAGAGCGATGCTTTAAACTCAGCAAAATGGCAAGAACTCTTAGAAAATGCCCAGAATGTGGTTTAGCTGATAGTCCCTGCCCTATGCAGAGTTCTCGTTTGTTCATTCATTCATTCATTCATTCATTCATCAGCTTATTGAAGACCACTATATCCAGTCATCCATCTACCCTAATTCAGAGTGTACAAGTAAGTCATGCTCTACATCTTTTACGAGGGTACCGGGACTTGAGTCCAACATGCTAAATCCGCGTTCTCCCACTTCATTACGCCTGCAGCCCCTAAATTTCTGATTTAGTGAAGCAAAGCAATATGCAAACATAATCACACCAGTGTGGCATATATAACAATAGAGGCCCCTGTAGGGAGCTGCTCTGTGTGCAGAAGGAAAGAAGAGAGGGTTACCCTTCTCCCAGCAGGGAACTCTAACACACTCTACAGGGCTCAAAACTCGATGCTTCTGAACAGGATTCCAGAGAATGACTCTGGCTTTGCCATGTGGGGAGGGACACGCTCCACCCCATCACTTCTCCACCTGAATTTAGTTAACTGGAACCCCTCCATTCCCCACTACTGTGAGCTCTCTGGTCATCTGGAAATTCAGTTCTACAAAGTGAACATTTTTTTATAGGAAACAAAGGTTTTTTTTTTTTTTTAACGAGGCAGCTATTAATCATGATTCTTTGAGTTTGTTCTGAGAAACACTCTTTTTTTTTGGTAATTATTAGTGCTTTCAAGGATAGGTCATGACAGGTTTGTATTGAGTACAGTCTTGTTCCTCGTAGTCGAGGGGAAAATTCGGTACCATCGCAACAGCAGCTGCTGTTCATAATTCAAAGTCTGCAGTTGCTGGCTTCTCCCATACATGGCAGTGAATGACAACAAAAGTCTGCTTGAAATGGATACCCAATATTATTTAGTATAAAGGAAATCAGATCAATCAAATGTAAGCGGGGGCGGGGGGGGGGATCCTTCAAGGGGAAACTCAATCCCACTTTCGGTGTGGATGACCTCTAAGTGAACTGCAAGATAAGAAACTGACCTTGAGTGACCTCAGTGGCTCCAAGTCTGAGAAGGAGGAGCAATCAGTCACCTGAAGAATGCATAATCCTCTTGGCATGAGGACCCTCTTCAGGGGCTTTAACCACCCTTTCTACCAACACTGGGCCCTCTAGCTTGGACTCAAGTAAGCAAACAAAAGACAAACCACTCGCTTTTAACCAAATAGTTGCCAAAGTAAAATTTAAGCAAGTCCCCCCCCCCTTCCCCAGTAAGGTTGAAAATACTTTATTTCCCAAAGTTGTAGCAAATAACAGGGGTGCTCTGAGTTAGCTGGGAAACATAGCCCAGCAAGTAAAACCACTTGCTGTGTAAGCCCGAGCCAAAGTCCTGGTGGAAGGTAAGAACCAGCTTTCTCCTTACCGCTGAGTAAATGAAACTCGGATTCAAGATATTTCAATATCTGACTTACTGACATGGGTTTGACGGAAATTCTGGGCTTGTCACATGGGTGCTCAACTGGGCTTGTATGGGGGATCAGGAAAAGATTTACAGTTTAGAAGCATTCACTGAAATATAGAGTCAGTGGGTAAAGTGTCTGCCACCAACCTGGTGACCCGAGTTTAGTCCCCAGAACCCACAATGGAAGGAGGAACTGAGTCTTAAAAGTTACCCTCTCACTTCTGCACGGATTCCAGGGCACACACGTGCCCATGCATATACAGATCACATATGCATGTGTACACTAGATTTAGTTACATAATTGTTATGTGTATGTGAGTTTTGCCTGCATGTATGCATATGCATTACGTATATGCCTGGAGGTCAGAAGAGGGTGTCAGCTAAAACAGCGACCTGCATGTGCAATAGTGGCGTAAACGTTATTCATGTAACCAACAACTTAAAAAAATTAGATTTAAGGCCCACTCAGTGTTGAAACCCCATACCTTCCACTGCTAAAATGGCCAAGAACCTGAGACTGGATAGGTCATAGGCCTAGAGGAAAACTCACTACTCTTATTCTGCTAAAGGAACATGGCCATAAATTGACTCCTAGTGACATATGGCTATACTCATAGATCAGTGCCTCACTCAGCCCACATCAGAGAAGCTTCTTCTCTCAGTAGATGGGAGTTAACACAGAGTCACAGCTAGACAGTGTGCATAGTGAGAGACTTTGAATGCTGTCCTAAATGGGATGTCTTCTTCAAACTCTTCCTCTCAAGGCTCGGGGATCTATGTGGAAGAGGAATCAGAAAGATTGTAAGAGAGGGGATGGATGACGACCAAGGACACAGTGTCTTCCAGACACGACAGGACTGATGCCCACATGAACTCAGAGACTGTGGCAGCATGTGCAGGACCCACACAGGCTCAAGCCTGCAGACAGCATCCCAGCACTGAGAGGAAGTGGACACAGAGTCCCACCCCAACCAGGAAGCTATTTGCAATTGATACCTGCTGGGAAAAGAAAATCAGTTTTCTATAATGGAATGTCACTGGGTATATCAACTGCACTCCAGGGCAGACCCCAGGCCCAGGAGTTGTTGGCCAGCATGAAATGAACTCCATGGTTTTTTTTTTTTTTTTTTTTAGACAGGGTT